TAATAGAACTAGAAAAAATCATTCTAGGAATAATTCTCGAAACAGAAAAAAATTTAGCATAAATCAATAAAGATTATTATTAGCCTCACAGAGTGAAAATTGACGGGAAGTAGAACAATTAAAACTCCTCTACGATTGTTAAAGGTTGTTTGAACACCAATGGCGATTCTGGGCAAAATGAAGATCGGAATCTACCCAGGCTTTGATAACCTTGTAAATCGGGTATCAGTCACATAGCCAGGGAGACTCACCTGGTCATCACCAAGTAGTGTCGCCACCGATTGATCAGAGAAATGAGTTTCAGGAACAAACTCCCTGTATTCAATCGTCGAAATCACCGATGGAAAAAACAATCCGGTGGTCTCGGAATCGAAGTCGATTACTCTTTCCTTTGACATCCTCAGCAGTGAGGCGACTGACCAAGACCCATAAAAAATCGGATTTGGGGGGGGGGGGGGATGGGTTAGAATAGTCGACTACGGCTTTCGTTAGGAAGGAAGAAGAATTGCAAAGTCGACTAGGGCTTTTGTTGGGGAGGAAAAAGAATTGCAAAGCTGTTATAATTTTTATGATTTAATTATTTGTTTTAATCATATTGTGGGTTTGGTGGGTTTGCTTATTTATATATTAAAAATAAAATATTTTATATTAATAATAGAATAAAGTAATTAATTTTAATGATTATTGTTAATCATATTTTGATTTGATAAACTTTACTAAAAATAGAAAGAAATCATTTAAAGTGGGACAAAAAAAAAAAAAAGAAATGATATCATTTCATGTAAAACAGGGGGAATAATTAATATATAATTATGTCATATATGTAATAAATGTTATAGATCAATCAGTTTTATGCTACCCAGACCTCACAAGGATACAAACCTTAGGATCAGACATATCTAATAGGTCTACGTATTAAAAAGAGTATGAAATAAATAAATTCTCCTTTAGTACATACAAACGGAGAGTTGTAGAGATTCACTGGTGTGTCTGTAGTTAGCAATGTTGGCGCCGGAAACTTCATAGAATATACATAATAATGGATAAGATTATTGAGTTTTCATATGATCAATCCATCGTCACATGAAAGTAGTATAATTTCGTTGTCGTTGGGTAGATCCGACCCATTGGACTAGAAGACATCATACTTACAATATACTTAATTTTAGACAAGTTCTATGGACGAAAGGAACACTATATATTTGAACAACAAGCTAAATATGTATTTTTCTTATTTTTTATATTGTTATTATTTCGTTATCCAAATCAATTAACCCTAATTGATTAGAAGTGCCCCTGCAATCCCGAGCCCCTCAAATCTCAATTGCAAAATTCATCCCCCATCTCTCAATTGTAAAATTTATCTTTACACCACAATCATTTCTCTTCCGCTCCTCTCCGCCCTCATTCATAGCCGTCTCTCGCTCTTCTTCATCCCCATCCAATCAACACTTTTCTTTTCCTCTTTAGTTTTGAAGCCTAATCCCGAAAACCGCCGCAGGCTCTCTCTCTTCTTCATCCTCACCCAATCGATGCCCACAACCGCTGCCTTCCTTTACCTCTTCAGCGGAGACGCCTAACCCCAAAAATCGCCGTGCCTCTCCCTCTCATCTTCTCTCTAACGGATGTGTGTCTCTGACTAGAGTTTAACAATCGTCTTCCAAGCCGTCACGCTCCGTCGTTATCACTTCTCCGCCGACTGCCCGACGCATGTCTTTGCCATCCAGCGTAGTCGTTCCTCTTTTGTTATGTTTAAAATTAATTAATTTTCTAAAGCAGTTTTGTAACGATATGCATGTTCGTATTATTATTGTTGTTATTATTATTATTTAACATCATTTTTTTGTTGTTGTAAAATTATTTTATATTAAAGAAATATCATTTTATTCACTATTTTTCTTATAAAATTGAAGAATTAATAGTTACGACTTCTTTGATGTTTGGATTGAATTATAAAACTGAAAAATTAAGAGTTGTGCTTCTTTGATGTTTGGATTAAGTTATCAAACTAAGACATGTAAATAAATAAATATATATAATATGCTATAATAAGTTCGTTTAAGCAACTTTTGTGAATTGAGTTATAAAACTGAAAATTTGAGATCTTTGCTTCTTTGATGTTTGGATTGAGTTCTAAAACTATTTATATATATATATATATATATATATATAATATGCTATGTGTTGGATTGGGTTATCAAAATGAGAAATTAAGATTTGTGCTACGTTGATTCCGTTGCTACATAAAAAATTTTGATTTGTTTCCCAAATTTGGGGATTCAAATATATTATATTTGATGAAAATTTATAAATTTTTTATTTGATTTATGTTTGAGTATAATAATTTTTATTTTTATATTGCAGGGAATATAGATTATATCGATTATAATCAACTACCTTTATTTGTTATATCATTATTTGGAGGTGGAATGATAAGTAATAATCGCAAAGAAAATTAAAATAGTGATGGAGAAAATACTAATGATATGACATGGATTATAACTAGTGTTTTTGAGTGAGTTTTATATTATTTTGTGGTCTTTTTAATCTTATTATTTAATTTTTAAATTATACATTTAAAACATAAATTCTAACATAATGCAATATTTTTTTTTTTATAGTTCAATTCTAGGTTTGATTGGAAATATAGGAAATATATTTCGATCAACTTTTTATAAACCATGAATTTTTAGAAAACAAGTACCTAATAGCCAAATAGACAAATGATTTGAAATATTTAAGGTATATCTAATACTGAGTTTGTTTTATTAATTATTTTATTATTGAATTAATTTTAACCATTAAATTTTAATAACATCTTTATAGGTGAGAACTTCGGTATGCATTTGAGATTCATAATTTATATTTCAATAAAGTTAGTGAGTTATTAAGGAGAATTTAGGTTACACTAAAAAAAATGCATGTCTAAAATGAATTTCTCTTTAAATTTAGGATAAAATAAAAGATCAATGAGGTTCTAAAGAATTTCAGGATATGATTGAACGGAAGAAAAGAAAATAGAAAAAAAAAAATCTGACAGCAGTTGCAAATCAATACCGTGAGGGGGCTCGATCTGTTGGCCGTATTAAAAGATTATGGTTATATTTAATTTAATGTAGTTCGTAAATATAAATTATTGTATTATATATATATTTGACAAATTTTTTAATATGATATTTATCTTGTAAAGCGACAAATTAGGACGCACACCAACATAAATAGGACTTTATCGTTACTGTTTTAGTAAAAAAATGTAAAGTATCTACTCAAAATATTTTAGTTCTCAAGATAAATTTGTTCAGAATATATATTTTTTCATATTTAATAATAGGGTATAATAGTTTCAAAAAAAAAAATTGTTAATGCCTTCGGTAGTTTTAACACAAAAGGTAGTATCCCGAAACTTGGTTTCAAAAATAAGATAGCAAAGGTCCAACTTCGGCTTTTCTGTTCACAACATGTCACATCGGCATTTTTTTTTTCAAATGTTTCGTTCGATGAGCATTTGAAAATTAATGAAGAATTGCGAGCAACTAATCAAACATTAGATCAGGTTTTCTATTTTAAACTTTAGATTATAAAAATATATATATATTTTTGTGTAGATGATGAAATTTTTTCATAAGTGTTTTGAAAATTTCAATAATTCTATTTTTCACGAACCAGAACCTTATTATCCCACAAATGGTTAGTCCATTTAATCCTTATCAAATGCGGAAGGATATTTTGTTGCGGAAGGATGCATTAATTATCATTGTCGCGGAATGATGCAACAATTTGTTCGATTTCAACAATTAGTTGCGGTCTTCTGTCGAAAAGTGCAATTAATGCTCTTCAATGTTTTTTTTTCGATAATTTATTAAATTTATTGCATAATCATATACTTTTCGCGGCAAATATTTCCGTGACAATAATATAATTTATAGTAGTGTACAAAGATGGTAGTAAAAAAGGATACATATTGTATTTGATATTTAAATTTTCGTGGACGTCTAGGAACCCATACATAAATTTTTATATCAAACTGAGTCTATAGATATTCTGTGTGATTTTTTTTCTATTCAAATTTGAACAACTATAGGCAAATTCATAATCTTATGCACATGAAAGTTATAATCATAAAACAACCATATTTTACAGAAATGCAAATTCCTTGGATTTTGTATCATCCCAATGCCACCATCAGGGACGGAATTACACTAGGGCTCGGGGGTCAATTTTTTATGATTTTTTTAGTATTAAAAATATTAATTTTTATTTATTTATATATCATTTGTCCTCCAAAACTATCTGAATTTATATATAATTCTGTCATTATTATTTATTTAAATTTATTAACTAAATATTAAATAAATTATAACATTTTGCTTCCGCGCTAGTTTCCGCCATGATATTGAAGAATTGACCTCTTTATTAGCTTTGATCAATCCCATGATCATTTTCCAACAATATATATAATATTAATTTATGGTCCAAAGGAAAAGATTATTGGTTTTGCATTCCTTTTTGCTTCCCCTGTCATAAAGCTTGTTTATATAAGCTGTTCTGAAATTATTTGTAATATTTATTTATATTTTTTTCTTTAAAAATATTATATTAAATATTAATTTTTATTTTCAACTCTCTAGAATCTTCTTTGTGAACTGAGTCTATGATGTTTAATCACTAAAACTACGATGGATCGGGAAGATGGAAACGACGATGGATCCGGAAAATGGATGCCTTGATGATGGAGTTAGCTAGCTAACTAGCTAGGGTGTAAGAAAACCCGATCCAAAACCCAACGTAAATCTCATTTTACTTTAAAAATTGCACGACGCTTTCATTTTTATCTATATAGGACTGACTGTTAATGGGATAGTTTTGATTGATGCAGAAATGGCGGAATTCGATAGAGGATATAAGTGAAGCATACCCATGCCCATTTCCGGTAAAGTTTACAGGTAAAGTTTACAATAGGTAAAGTTTACACAAAAGAAAAATGTCACAACTTCATACGATGACCATAATGTAGCGACTATATTTCAGGTTAAGTTTCGAAAATAAAGAGGAGCAGAGCGGCAGAAACAAGAGTTCCTGCAATTGATGTTCCATCATCATCATCCTTAAATAAATAAATACAAGTTACAGGCAAGAATCGATTGTTGATATTCTCTAACCAAGAACAACCAGAAAATAAATAAAAAAAAAAAAATGTTGCAAGAAATATCAAACATGCTACAACGGGCTTACAATGTTGCAGGACCCCACCCGCCCTTTAATGACATGACAATTGCTGAATAAATCCAAAACCCAATAATAAGCAGCACAGGAGAGAGTCGATAACATCTACCAATAACAACAAAATCACAGAAATCAGTTAGTGAAGTCCATATTCATCATTTAAGAAACTCCTCTGATCTGATCTGATCTAATCCAATCTAAGACCAAAGGAAATAACACAACTGTGGGATAGCCGACCGAGTGCCAATCAAGTTCAATCATGGTGGAGTTAGCAATTGTAGCAGAACTTATGGGAAGGAAGAAAGGGATTGACCTCCAATTCAACCATCGAAATCATCACGGATTAGGCTGCAAGGTTCTTGAAGGTACAGCAGCCTGTTTTAGTCGAGTCACAGATAACAAGAGTCAGTAAAAAAGAGAGAGATGTTTACATACACTTTTAGCGTATTTGCCACTATTCATCAACAGTAATTTTTTTTAGAAAAACAACTCATCAAATACATAATCTTTCTCACAAAACAGCATATCAAATAATTCTTTTTTACTATTATCAAATTTTTTGAAACTTCAAAAATCTGTGTCTCAGTGGAGCCTTCGGATACTCTCACAGCAGTGCACAAATATTTTAGCACATCTAAGTCCAGACAAAAAAAGGAAAGCCAAAAAATATAACAAATTTATACATGAAAAGCTCAAGTTGGCAACGAGCATTATAAGGCATCACGGCATACCACAACACATGCCAGGATTCAATTTTGATCAGGAGAACAGTTGTTATCTAATATATAACTAAAGCACTGAGTAGCACTGCTACTTTCTCGAAAACTATAGTTCCATATTTGTTGCCACTAAATTCAGAAAGTAAAAGGAAATAAAAAATAATGGATATATAGTTTTAAGTATTGACTGCATAAGTTATCGGTATATCTACAGAAGGTGGATGTAGCTCACCTCTCTAAACTGATACGGCGGCGTGCTAGAAGTAGGCCCGCTGTTTGATGCACCGCTGCAAGGAAGGATTTGAGAATGACCCAAACTACTACCAATCCTTCCATTGATTCCATTAAATTCATTTAGAAGCAACCCCCCGGAAGACTGCTCAGTGGATGTCGAAGCTTGATTACAAAACGGTTCGCCCCTCAGCCTGCTTAATCTTGGAGAAAACACCGATGGAGGTGAGTTGTAGTCTGTTGACCTTTCCCGAACATACATATTTTGTGGCACAGTCCTTGCTGGAGTAATGGGTGAACCGAAAAGATTGATGCTCGGCACCGGGGCTGCTGCATCAACACTGCGGTCATATTGCCGTTGCCTGTTGTTAAGAAACTGATGTATCTGACGCTGTATCCGTCGTCTTTCAAGCAAAGTAAATGCCCCAGATCCAGAAAAAGGGGACTGGAAATGCCCGAAAAAATTCCTAGGTGATTGATGATGACCAGACTCTTGACTCAAAGGGGTGTCGGGAACATATGCCTCATTGAGATCAAAAGTTTCACGGACAGCAGTGGCAGGAGATGAAGCCGCAGACACATTGTTATTAGCGCCGTAATCCGGGAAGGAATTCAGAGCTTGAGAATTTGACGAAGCAAGAGCTGTCGGCCTACAGCCGTCACAGTACCAATTTCCATCAGGCACTTCACGGCCTAGACCGACGCAATATGTATGAGCAGGAGAATCACAGAGATCACAAAGAAGCATCAGTGCATCGTCCCCTCCCAGTAGGCATTCGGTACAAAGAACATTCTCATAGGGATCGAGATAGCCCCTAAGCTCTTCTTCAGAAGGCTGATAAACCTGTCGATAAAAATTGAAATTGAGGCAAGTAAATTTTAAAATCACAAATCAAATCAGTTAAATAGATTAAAACTGAAGGGTTTGTTCGAATGTACCTGATCACGTTCAGGAACTGGAAAAACTGCACCCCGTAGATCACGTCCACCCTCCCCTCTTGCAGTTCTACTAATGGTTCCAAACCTTTGCTTGCATAAGGGGCACCGGGATTCCACCTTCGACCATTCCATAATGCAAGCAAAACAAAAGTAATGACTGCAACAATTTAAAACTCCTCTTACGGTTTTCTTCCCTTCTTCAGATAGACAAATCCCACAAACTTGTTTCCCAACCTCGATTTTTGTTTCTACCTCCTTTTGCTTGCCTTTCTTTCCTAGGCGCTTCGCCTTTGAAGGCATCTTTTCCTCATTTTTGACATTCTTCAAAGGTCTTGAACTCCTCGGTCGAGTTGTCAGCCTTGTGCAAAATTTACCTGCCTCTTTAACCTGCTCTCTCTCCTCTTCAGAGACAGTGTATTCATAGTCAGATGATCCCGAGCTCACAAAATCAGAGTCAGAATTCACATTTAATTTCCGTTTCCCCCTTCTTCCCCAAACCCATCCCCCCATGTTCGTTTTCTTTTTCTGGGAAATAGGATTCTCGTCTTTAACCTCATTAGAAACCTTAGACTTTTTTCTCCCCAAAACCTGTTTATGAGCATTATTTCTTTTGGTTCTCTTCAAAACCTGACTTGGAGTAAATTCATCATCATCTTCATCATCAACCTCATAAGAATCATCACCATCATCATCTTCCTTTTCCTCCTCATACGAAAGATCATCTTTCTCCCTTGGATTTCCCTTATGAGAATCTTCGAAATTCTCTTTACCACAAGAAAATTGTTGGTTTTTAAAATTTCCATCAAATTCATCGACATCTTGTCCGTGGTGAGCCTCAGGTTCATCATCATCCTCTTCTTTGTACGACACCTTATTCTTCCTTTGCCTCTTAGCACCATAAGCATAATCTTCATCACCTTCATCATCATAGTCTTCTTCTTCTGTGCTACAAACAACCTTCTTCTTTCTTCGCTTTGTAACACGATTTTTCTTTCTCACCTGACAACCCTTCCTCCCTCCAGTCTTTGCAACTTTCTTAACCTTCTTGTATGACCACTCATCCTCCTCCTCCTCTTCCTCTAATCCCAAACTTTCCTCCGATTCATCCTCAGCAAAGGAACAATCATCCTCTGAAACATCAAACTCCTCCTCATCCTCATCCACCCTATAATCTTCATCAGATTCATCCGAACCATTTGTTTGCAACACGACCTTGTTCTTGGTCTTACGCTTTCGCCCAATATTTCCTCTCGCCATCTGTTCGCACATGAAAAAATACAGAACAAAACTTGTAAAAACGATAGAACACACCATCCAATAATTACAATATATATAGTATCAAAACAATGCGTGCAAAATCCAGTTGACGAACATCCCATACCATAGTTTAATTCCTTTCTACGTGTCCACGTGCACGTATTTAATCTACGAGCTCTGATAACCATCATTTAATATAAAAAACAAAAAAGAATAAAAACCTCAAATCATAGAAACAAGAAAGAAATTATCCACAATGCTCTGGAAGCAAACTAATCCACCATTAAAAGGAAATTTCAGATTATCTCCTCAATAGTCAAGTGTATCAGAGAATATCAATTCAACAAATCAAATATTGAAAGACACACAATACCGTAAGTTTCCATTAAAAAAATTTCCCCAAACACATAAAATCCCCAGCAAAACCTCAAAGATTTAATCCCTAATATCCTCTACCACGAAATTAACATCAGAGAAAATAATCAAGATAAACTTGACAACCCGATCCGATTTTTCCCCAAATTGACCATACCATCAGAAACCCTAGATCGAAATCAACTCAAAGCACTACCATTTCCAGCCCCCACTGATCAATTTAAAATTCCAAGCAAACTAACAAAATACTCTTTCTAATAGCAGAAACAAAGAAGCAAAAACGCTATAACCCTATAAAGCAATCGCATCCAACGATATCAGATTACATGTAATTTCACACATAGCAACACATAGCAATTACCATTTATTTCGAAAAGAAACCGAACAGATTCATCTCGATCAGAAACAAATAACAATTAGATTTTTATACCCTAGTTAAAAGAACCCAATTCCAGGAAACGGACCCAAGATTACCCCGAGTTTGGAGAGAATCCTCAAAACCAATTCCCAGCAAAGTTAGAGCGTTCCTTCTTTCCTCTCTCCGCGTATATAAAAATAAAAATAAATAAAATAATAAGATATATATATGTATAGAGATAGAGAGAGAGAAACGTTAAAATATGGAAGCAAAGAGCGCATCAGCTTTTTATATTATGCATACGCCTTTAAAATATAAAAATAAAAAAATAAAATAACAAGTGAACGTTATCTGTAATAAATGTAATAAATTTAAAATAACATTATTACATCATACATAATACTATTATTATCTACAAAACAAATAAAATAAAATAAAATCAGAATCGTATATTTATATTATAAAGTTTCCCCACCGAATAATTTTATTAATGTTTTATCATTTGCTTTTTTTTTTTTTAATTAAAAAAAATAAATCAGACTTATCTCGCTTCATGTTCTTTGTATAGATATTATTGATGTAATACTTAAATAATAATATTAATTATTTTTCGGGTGCATCTTTAAGGGGGAGTGTGAAATGACGAGGATGCCCCTGTGGTTGGGCTGTACACAGCACGGCATAGTTGAATTGGTATTTGGTATTGGTATGGTATGTATGCATTAGTTGACCTGACTGGGCCCCACTTGGTCTCTAATAATTTTCAAATTATTGATTTTTTTTTTAAATAATAATACATCGTAATTTCAATTTTAAATAAGATTTGTGTGTTAAGATCCACTATATAAAATTGACCTTCATCCAACACTCATAATTTATGGGTGTCTTTGGGTTGTTTTGATTTTAAATTTTAATTTACATAATTATTAGTATTGATAATAATAATAATAATAATAATAATAATAACAACGTTATAGGTGAGCAACAAAGATTTTCCTAAGCCCGACGCTTCAGGTCACCTGTCACATATGGTTCACCTAGTCTGACTTTCTCGTCAGGCCTGGTTTACAGGGTATTAGGTTCGGCCGAAGGCTTACCGGTGCTCACTTTCGGGTAGCGGCTGCAGTTCCCACGTCATAAAAAAAAACAAAGATTTTTCTAAATTAGAATAAATACAAATTTAGTATCGGAATATGATAAATTATCAAATATTTACAAGGTATTTTGGGATGTTTAGTTCTTTATCTAGAGTTTGGTTTTGAATTTTTGTTTCAATATTATTTGTATTTTAATTATTTTAGAAAAACAAGAATTTAATAAAAATATATATTGGGTGAGTACTGGTTTTGATATATATTTTGAAGTAAAAATAAAATTTTTGATTCAATATTTTAAAAATATATTATGTATAATGTAAAAATAAAAATTAATAAATCGAAGTTAATCAGATAAAGTTATTACAATGGTTTTGCCTAATTGCGTTTTTTTTTTATATATATATAATATAATTATTGAATATAGAATTTGAATAAAAACTAAATGTTAAAATATAATACTTGTTGTTACACATTCAAGATTAATATGCCATATATATACAAGAAACACACGAATTAAACCAAAGAACTTAAAGAATCTTTTATTAAACGAAAGCAAATGCTCGGACTCAGTTTATCCAATCTAAAAATCAATTCTAACACCCACTGTAACGCACAATACAACCCTAACACAACCGACATCCACGGAAACGCATCCAACATGCGAACATCACCACGATCTAAGGGAAAACACAAAAGATTTAAGTTTAATCCCTCCCAACCACAATATAATCAATACATTATAAAGGAATGCTCGAAATCGTAAATCGAACCAAGGAACAGCCTCAGCATAGACTGTTTATCAAGGAACTCAATCGAACCAGTCGAATCGCCGGACAGATCGCCAGAGAAGACTCAAGGAAGATCGCTCGATCGCCGTCGCGATTAGGGCTTTTTCAGAGAGAGGATTTGAGAGTCAGGGATAGAGAAAGTGAGAGTGAGAGTCTGAGTGTGTGTCCTCTCTGAACCGGGCAGAAGCAATATATATATTGCACTGTTCTAGACCGGTGCGGTTCAATTCGGGCGGTTCAGCATTAGACCGCCGGTTCTCAATAGAGAACGGGTTTGGTTCGGGTTGCTGGATCCGGGTTTCGGGTTGTACGGGTTTGTGCGTTACCGGCCTCACTTGTCATTGGCCAAAAATACCTCCACAATACAATCATTGTCCGGCTCTAAGGATCTCATTTATGTTTTGCGTGTTGATATTTGAATATTTATTATTGTATCAAAATGTAGTATAAATTAAGAAAAAATTGCAAAAATACTTTCATTAGTATTTTATAATACTAGTATAATGATATTTTTGTGCAAAAAATTATATAAATAAAAGGATATTTTTAATATTAAATACATAACGCAAAAGGTAAATGAGATTCCTAAAGCCAAATAGAATGGGTATTTGTTAAAAAGAAATTCAAATTTAATATTTCGCAAACTTATGTAAATTTGATTGGATATAAAAATTAAAAAATAATAACAATCTAATATTAAAGTAAGGGAAGTAATAAAGCAGATTAGGAGTAATATAAAAACATAATTAAAAATAATATAAGTGAAGATGTAAATAAAAAGATTGAGTCACAAATTGATTATTATTTATAAAAATAAAATTAATAAAATTATACAAAAATAAAATTATTTATTATAAATAAAATATACATAAATTTAGTGAAAAAAAATAATGACATAATTTTAACATATAGAAAGAGTATATAGAAGTAAGTAAACTTAATCTTATTTTAATTAAATTTTAATACTTCCTCCGTCCCAGATACCGTGTCTGCTACACTGTAGATACGGTATTTTAGGAGGGGTTTAATTAGTAGATAATTAAGAATGTATTAGTGAAAATAATTATCCTATAATATAAATAATTATAAATTAAGATTAAGATAATTAATTAGTTTAATTAAAATAAAAATTTAAAATGAGATTAAAGTGTGTAATCATTTTCCAAAAAAAGGAAAGTGACATGTTATATGAGACGGACATAAACGACAACGTGGACATGGTATCTGGGACGGAGAGAGTAATATATAAAATTTGTTTTGGTGACAAGAAATTTTTTACTCTTTAAGTATATTCCTCCTTAAAGGGTTAATTCTCCTAAAATTCTCAATTCCTAAATCATTTTTCTTATCGGTCTCTATTAATATAATTTTTTCATTTAGCTCTCTATTTATTCCACATCACTCCCTATTTATAATTATTACACATTTTTACCAATTTTACCCTCTAAATAACTTTTTATTCATATTTTTATCCACCAAATATAATCCAAAACTCTTAGGTAATAATATTTAATTATATTATTTGTTTATCTATGGAACAAATATATTTATTTTATATAAATAAATTTTTGTATATAGAATCTATTTACTTATGGTTCAATAATTTTTGCAGGATTTGTTACAATACAGTAGTTTTTATAATAGAAAAATATTTTTTCAAATAAAAATTTATTATTTTCAACTTATTTATTATATTATTCATACTTATATTTAATTGAGATCAATATTTTTCTTATAAATATTTTATATAATTATAATGTAAGAGTTATGAGTACTTTTGTATTATATATTTTATTAATATTATTATTATCATTATTTCTTGTCAATTATTATTTTTGTTGTTGTAATATTTTATTTTATATTTAAATTAGTAAAAAGTATAAACAAATTATAAAAAAGTGTAATTGGAAAAAAAAAGAAAAATGATAAAAGAAATTAAATAAGGGTACTATAGGGTTTTTACAGGGGCGAAATAGCAAAAAAACTCCCCTGTGATTTCCGAAAATTGCTGAAAACTCCCCGTGGTTCTAAAACTCCAAAAAACCTACTTGTGGTTTCCAAAATGTTGCAAAAAATCTCCTATCCGTTAGGATTTAACGGAGGTTGTATAGCACGCGCCTGAAATGCGATTTTTGGTCCATAGAGTGATATATTTCTGTATAAAATTACTAAAATACCCTAATGACTACTTTTTACAACATCTTCTTCTTCCTCGTTCTTCTTTTTCCTCGTTCTTCTTCTTCCTTGTTCTTCTTCTTTCTTATTCTTCCTCATTCATTCTTCTTTCTTATTCTTCTTTCTTTTTCTTCCTCCTTCTTCTTCTTCGTTCTTACCAAATCCAGAATTACTTTCTTCTGTTTTTATCAAACCCCAAAATCTAAAAATTTAATTTAACATCAAGATTTGAAATCAATCTAATAAGAAAAAAAGAACTTGTTGCTCGTTGCAACAGTGTACGAAAGAATTAGGGAGAAAAAATAAAGAAGAAAGAAAATTGGGGAAAAATAGATAGAGAAGAAAAATAAAAATTGGAGAAAAAAAAACTTGATGCCTTCTTTCTCATCTTCTTCTTTCCCTTCTTTCTTTATTCTCTTTCTTTTCTTCTTTCCTTCTTCCCTGCTCCAGCCGCTTCTGCCCGTCATCTTCTTTCTCTTCTTATTCTTTTCCAATTCTTCATTCTTCAAAGAACAATTGGAGATGAAGAAGAAGAAAAAAAAATTGGGGGAAAAGAAGAAAAGAAAGAAGCGGGTAGAACTACTATGACGTGAAAAAGAATTGGAGAAGAAGAAGAGAAAAATTAAGGATAAATAAGAAAAGAAAGAAGTGGAACTGTTATGGCTTGAAAAGGAATTGGAGAAGAAGAAGAGAAAAATTGAGGAAAAAGATGTGTGAAGAAGAATTTGGGGAAGAAAAGTAGATGGAAGAAAGAAGTTGGAGAGAAGAGAAGAAGAAAGAACAAAAGAGAGAGAAACACAGGGGCATAACGGTCTGATAAGGTTAAAATTTAACGCCGTCAGTGTGATTTAAAGGGGGGGCGAGTGTGCAACGTTTTACAAACCACGAGTAGGTTTTTTGGAATTTTAGGACCACGGGGAGTTTTCAACAGATTCGGTAAACCACAGGGTTTTTTTTTGCTGTTTTGCCTAAATAGGGAGTGAAAAAAAATTGTAAAAATAGAGAATATAGAAGATAAAATTAATATATAGAGAGTAAATAAGAATATGAATATAAAATTATGGAGATATGTGGAAGTTGTCCTTTCAGATTCATGGTCTTTTTTTTAGATATTAATAATTATAAAAATATTTTACAATGTGATGTTTTGTATATATTTTATTATTTTTTTACTGTTCAAACACAATATATTTAGTTTTTTATTTAGTAAGTATAAATTCCACTATATATATTACAAATATTTTTACATTTATTTTTATTATATCAATAGCTTCTTAATAATTTTTATCATGTTTATTTGATTCTTTGTAATCCTCCATTTTAGGGTTTTTTTGCATCAATTAAAAAAGTTCTTGTTTTGATTTTTTTTTTTTTTTTTTTTAATGTATTGCATTATTGTTTTTTTCAATTTTTATTATCAGGTTAGCTTTCTTCACTCAAATGAGTTTTGGACTCGAAGAGTCACCCACATCCTCATTTAAATTAATAGAAAACTTGAAAGTCCTTGCAATATTGAATAAATTTAGAAGTAGAAATAGGATTATTAGGATCAGAAGAGACATAGTTGGCTCTTTGTGATTCGGATTGTTGCCTCATAGTTTAAATTTTACCGCAAAAGTTTTTAGTGAATTCTAAACATGGTCGAAATTGAAATTTATTTTAAATGTTCGATATTTCAGATATTACAACTTTACTCAATCACAACTACATATAACTTTGAATTCAATAAATATATTCAAACATATCAAATTTCAATCGTGACATATAATCTATATATACTTACAATTTTTCGGATACACAATTAATTTTGAACAACTTTTGTTATATTATTTCATCGACATTATAATGAGTTGACATTACAAATCTATGCCCTTTTGTTCATTATATGCTTCTTCAACTCTTTCTAAGAATTTCTCTCTAGATTGATACGCCCATATGACAAGATTTTGATGATACTAGATGTTGTGTGATGAATTCTTTTGAAACTTAGTATATATAGACAAAAATTGTATGGTATCTAATGTTGGATATTGAATTGTCTCCATTCAATTGGTATCTAACGTTGAATATTGAATTGTGTCCATTCAATTGGTATCTAATAAATTGTGTCCATTCAATTGGTATCTAATGTTGGATATTGAATTATATCTATTTAATTGGTATCAAATGTTTAATTTTAAATTGTATCATTTCATATATGATATTTAATGTTGGATATTGAATTATGTTCATGCAATTGGTATCCAATGTTGAATTTCAATTTATTATATCCATTGAGTTGGTATGAAATATTTAATTTTAAATGGTATCATTTCATGTATGATATTCAATGTTGGATATTGAATTGTATCTATTCGGTTGCATCCAACATTGAATTATGAATTATATTAATTCAATTGGTATCCAATAGTGAATAATATTTGTATTTTAAATTCTTCTATAAACATATAAGTGTAAAATAAACATATAATTTATCTCACTTCACAATGAATTACAACAATATTGGTTCTTCTAGTGATAAATACGAAGTATCACAAAAAAATATCACTCTAGATGCTTCAAAATAATAATAGAATATTACAAAATAATTTTTATATACTCAATCAGCTTTTTTTTTTTTTTTTTTTCTTCGGGTGATTCAATTCTAAACCATAGAGTGACCAATTTTGATTATGAAAAACTACAAGTTTTCATTTGTTCAATGTTTACTTCAATGATGAAATCCAAGATACAACGATTTAATGTTTTTTTCGTTGGTATCAAATGTCTCGATCTCTATTTTTTTATATTATTGAGAGTGTTAAATCTTATGATAGATATTTTCAACAATGGAGTGAAAGAGCAGGAAAATTTGGATGATCACATCTTAAAAAAGCAACCATTATTTTTCGAACGTTGCCATATGGTGTACTAGCAGATACAATAGACGGATATGTAAAAATTGGTGAGTCAAATGCAATTAATAGTTAAATTTTGTGATCATGTTGAAATTTTTGTAGGAACTTACCTAAAATCACCTAACGCTAATGATGCGACGAGGAGGCTCATGCATGTTAGCCATAATCATTATTTTTCGGGAATATTGAGTGTTTGTTTGTTTAGTGAAATTGTTTAAGGAGATATTATTTATGTGAGATATAAAAAAATTGTTTAAATAATATACAAATAATAAGTGTGTGTAATATATTAATTTTTTTGAAAATAAATATAATTTTGGGTATTGTGAATCTTACTAAAAGAACACACCCTGGTAGTTTAGATTGTATGCATTGGAAGCGAAAAAAATTGTCCCACTGTGTTTGCTAGACAATAAAAACCGATAATTATCTTGGAAGCTATGACTTAATATGATCTTTGGATATGACATGCCTATTTTGATTTTTCGGGGACAAAATAATGACATTAATGTGCTCAAGTCATTAAATTTATTTTCCAATCTTATACAATTTATTATTACACCGGTATATTATGTTATTCAAGGAACATAGTATAATACGAAATATTATTTAGCCAATACTATACCCGAACTAGTTAACACTAGTACAAACTATTCATGAATCAACGATGCTGTGAAGAAGCAATATTTTGCAATGAAGCAAAATGTGTATAAAAAAGATGTGGAGCATGCATTCAGAGTTCTGCAATCGTGTTTTACAATTATTGCAGGTCCATGTCATTTTTTGAATAAAAATATTTTACATTACGTAATGTCTGCGTATATTATCCGTATTATATAATTGTCGAAGATGAACCTTATCTTAGCACACCAATAATAGAAATTCCATATACCACTTCCTTTGATTGAACGAGTCATCAATGAAGATTTTTTTGATGGTATAATCGAGATTTTTTCATTCACAAAAGAAATTTTGAAAAAATAGTTAAGCAAAATTTAAAATCAAAGAGGAATAGTTGTCTGTTGCCGGAACCACGAAAATGTAATAACCACAATTAGGGCAACAAGGATTGACGGTAGATTTAGGGAGGGATGTTGCATGATTATGATCGAGAGACGATATCGGTGTTTGGCGAGACGGAGTTTTCAAATTACGGAGAGAACAAGTGAGATGAGACTATTTAGGGTAAAAATGACATGGACGATGGGGTGGATGGATAGGTATTGATTTTTATGAATTAGTGCTTTTAATATATGTTTAAAGTATATAATTTACTGCCAAAAAAGAAATATGTCATGTAGGATGAAATTGCTCTTGAACACATCAAACGAATTACACAAGTCATAGGGATATAAAAATAAGAAATAAATAAATAAAAATGTTACCTATTTTAATTTAGTTTAATTGATTGGAGCTTGGTTGTTTACCACACAAATGGGTGTGTTTGTTCGAGCGGTATGGGATTTTGAATTTTGAATTTAAAATATATTTATAATATAATATTAAAAAATAATAATTATTTATTTAATATTTAAAAAAAATGTAAAAATTTGTGTCAAATCGCACAAAAGTACACTAACCTAAAAATATAGTCAATTAGCTCTTAGGCCTCACCTCAATCCCTTCCACAATCAGCCCTCCTTTCAGCTGATGCCCCTTAACCTCCATAATGTCTATTTCTATAATTTCTTCGGCGCCGCCGCCGTGATTATTCGCAGCGACGGCGAACTCGCCGAGCTCTAATTGCAACCATCCACCGCCGCGACATTGCGGCTCCATTTCACGGCCGTCGTTCACCAAGCGCTTCATCATATCCATCCTGTTTTGGTAAAACACGCGCTGCGGAAGCATGTTCTTCCCGGTCGGATCGCGCAGGCGAGCCGTGTTGGCGGCGAGCATGCGGTGGCGGTTGCTGCTGCTGGATGTGATCTGAGTTTCGCACGGTATGGAATCGAGGCCGAATGGATTCTCGGAGAGTTTGAAAATAAGGTACGCGGCGTAATTGGTATTTGGAGACAGAGATTTTGAACTAATCCTGCCATGGATTTCTAACCTGTCTGTTGATATGAGCTCAGCCACTTCTGAAAACCTAGATTGAAAAATTGCGAGGAAAATTAGGGCAAATTAATGTAATGTGAGTTCGAAGGATTTTGTGCAACAGGCGACGAACCTTGAGTCAGGATTCGATTTCCATGTCCACTCGACGTTGTGGAAATTCGACAGACTCCTCGCGGAGAGGACGAAGAACTTTCGACCGCTGGATCTGTGTAATCCGAAGACCTGCAGAAGACAGGAATTGGCGGTTGATTAATCAGCCACGAACGGTGGAATGAGAGAAGAAGAATATAGTAAGAGCAGACCGTACGACCGCCATTGATGAGTATGGAGTTGGAAAGGAGAAAGAAGAGCTCCTTTCGCGATGAAAATTTGAGAGAATTTGACGCGACAATTTGGTGATAGTCTTCGGGTAAGAAGCTGCGCCACACCGCGTCGGATTCCGCCGGAGACCTGAATCCTTTCGATACTGCCAACACTCTGCAGGCGTCCACCGGAGAAGTTAGTGAGAGAATTCTAGCAACGCAGTCTTCTGGAAGATCCGCGATATTGTTCAACCGAAACTCCATAGCCGAAGAAGATGAAGAAGGAAGACAGTTTGGTAGCAATTTTTCAGAGTTTTTAATGGCGGCTGCTGCTGAATATGGTTGAGGAAGACGGTGGGATATTAAGACGCGACTCTGTGCAATTTGTAAAGTCGTGTTTATGCTTTTTGGAGAAAGCGTGTTAAGCGTTGGCGGTCAAAAAACGTGTTCGTTAGGATTTATAATTATCACTGAAATAGTAAAGCCCGAAACACCAGTTGGGGGCAAGTGTTTGAATATTCTGATAGTTTTATTACAACTATTTTAGGTTTTGTTTACATATTTTTTCTTTTTTTAATTTTGATAAAATTACAGTTATTTTTTAAAAAAGAAGTATTTATTTATTTATTTATTTTTTTTATAAAATTTTATACTTTTTATTATTTTTTTAATATTTTCAAAATTAGAAAAATATATGTATAAAGCTCGGTTGAAAAAACACTTCCGGAACTCACGTGTTCAAATTGAAATTAAGATTCATATTTCGAATTTAAAAAACATCTGCAATAACTCACTCAAAGAAAAAACAAAAATAAAAGGTCTCGGATGACCTGGTTGTATGGAGGGTTGGACGTGTGTCTGTAAGGTCATGGATTCAAATCCCCGTCTGAGTGCCGGCGATCGATCCCCAACTGCCGTCCAATTTGTCTGATTTGCCCAAGTGTAGAAGAGAAGACGAAGCAATAGAGAGAGAATGGGGCACAAAACCAAACTGATGCCGCTTCGATTTTGTGCGGTCGATTGGAGGGTGAATGCGTTAATAAATTTTCAAGGAAAGAAGAAAGACATGGTATCTTCTCTAACAAATGGAAGGCTTTCGTTATATTAGAATTTTAATATCTTTGAAGTTTTTTCAGAATTACAATAATTAGAAAAAATATTATTTATTAAGTTTTTTTGTCAATAAAAATATATTTGACTTGAACATAAATTTTAACAAAGTGTGACATAAAAGTAAAAATATTTTATAAAATATATAAGTAAATTAATAAAGTGAGAGAAAATTTTAGATATATTGAACGTGTAAATGTTAGATGACATATATATACAAATAAGTAAAATATTTAAAGATATAAATTAATAAATATGTAAACATTATTTGTTATAAATAAAAAATACATATTTTTTTGAACAAAAAATAAAAATAAAAATACATAGATATGATGGATAGAAAGAACATAATATTTTATGATTAACAAAATTGATACTCTTTCCATCTTAAATCAATTGATACTTACTAATTTTTAGTCGGTCTATTTTCATTATATTATGTATGAAAATTATGATTAGGTTAAAAATCTCAAGTTACTAGGAGAACATGGGCCAATGATTGGGTTGGTTTGATTGATCGAGGGGTGGTGTGAGAAAATCGGGTGAAATAGACATGTTTCTAAGGTCCGCAGGTCGGAAAGTCCGCAAGACGGAAGGTCCGCAGGTCGGAAAGTCCGCAAAACGGAAGGTCCGCAGGTCGGAAGGTCCACAGGTCGGAAAGTCCGCAAGACGGAAGGTCCGAAGGTCGGAAGGTTCGTAGGTCGGAAAGTCCGCAGGTCGGAAAGTCTGCAAAACGGAAGGTCTGCAGGTCGGAAGGTTCGCAAGTTGGAAGGTCCGCAGGTTGGATGGTCTATAAGTCGGGAGGTTTGCGGCTGGACCAAACAAGTCGGATGGTCTGTCAGTCGGGAGGTTTGCGGCTGGACCAAACAAGTCGGATGGTCTGTCAGTTGGGAGGTATGCGGTTGGACCAACAAGTCGGATGGTCTGTAAGTCGGGAGGTATGCGGCTGGACCAACAAGTCGGATGGTCTGTAAGTCGAGAGGTATGCGGCTGGACCAAACAAGTCTGGTGGTCTGCAAGTCGGGAGGTTTGCAGTCGGACCAACAAGGCGGAAGATTTGCGGTCGGGCCAAAAGGGCGGAAGGTTTGCGGTCGGTCTAGAGAGTCGGATACTATTGCGAGTAAGCATAATGGTACTTTGGTCGGTTGAGGGCACGTGTCAGCAGGAGAAAGGTGAGCAGACGGTTGAAAAAAGTGGCGTGGTAACCGTTCGGGCGACGGTTTTCAGTACCGTTTCTCAAGGAATATTTAAGGATTTGAATTTTTTTGGAGAAGGCATCTTCAATCAACTTCGACAAAAGCAAAATCAGATTCGGGGATCACCACTTTAAATTTCCAGCATTTAAATTTCCAGTTAATTTTCTTATGTACCGTACAACGTTTAGAGATTTCTAATCTCAGGCACTAATTAATCAAATTTAAGGATATTTCCATATCTTTGAATTTTACTTTTTGTTTGTTGAAAAAATACATCAACAAATTGGCGACCACGGTGGGAGAAAGGCAAGATTGCTGATCCTAGATCAACAGAGAATTTCATACGACTGAGGTCTGGCCGAATCATCAGAAAACTCAGTATGGCAGGCTCACAACCTCAATCATCATCAACACCGGCGGGAGAAAATGTTTCACCACCAGTCATGCCAAATTCAGGGGAGATTCCCCAACCACCTACCGATTGGTTGTCTTATGTTCAACAAATGAACAATCAGCAACCTGTGGTTATGCAGAACATGTTGCGCGAGCAACAAAATCTTATGCAGAACATATTAGATCAAGCATTATCAAAGGTTACTCTTCAACCCACCCAGACGCCGCCAGGGGTGTCACCATCAATAATGCAAGCAAATTTTGCAGGGCCATCATATGTGGATAGCACACTTCCAAGCGCCACAACGTTCAACCGAACAGATAGGGAAAAGACTCCTCTGACTTTCCCAAATAATATTCCTTTGGGACCAAGGGTTGAAAATGTGCAACCGAACATTACAAGAGAGGAAAGGCCAGGGGGACATGTGCAAGATCCTATTCTTATTCCTGTGCAAAATCCCATTGATATTCCTGATCATCAACATTTTCGTTTGGGTGATGAAATTGCTCACGTATTGAGGGTTCAGTTTGTTCTAAATCTTCAGATGGCCAACCGACCTGCTTATTAAAGACCTTTTCCATAAAGGATTATTAATGAATATCCTCTCCCAAGGAATTACAGGCCACCAGATTTTCATGCTTTTTCTGGAGATGATGGATCCTCTACTATAGAGCATGTGGGGCGTTTCACAGCACAGTTAGGGGAAATTGGTAACAATCCTTTTTACAAGTTACAATTGTTTGGATTGTCTCTAATTAGGACAACTTTTTCATGGTTTGTAAGTCTGCCACCTGGGCAAATACAAACTTGGGAAGGTTTAGAGATGGCATTTCATGCCAGATTTTTCAATCTCTTGCCAATGGTTTCTTTGACTGATTTATTTGAAATGAAACAATATCCAGAAGAGTCAGCTTCACAATTTATTGAAAGGGTGCGATTGATGAAAGGACGGTGTCCTACAATAATCAATGAAAAAGAGATGACCAACTTAGTGGTCCGAAATATGCATGGTCGCCTAAGGGATGTGCTCACTGCACATGATGTCGAGGATTTGGCAAGTCTCGCATCCAAGGCTGGACGTTTAGAATCTCTTTTCAGGAAAATGGATCAGAATTTCAGGCGTAATGAAGGCCAACATATGACTAGTATGGAAACAGAGGCATACGACTTTGATTATGATCAAACAGAAGAGATGGCGGCCGAAATAATTTCAGGGAAGCCTTATGTATGCTCTAAGTTAAAGCCAACACCAGGAACAGAAGCTAAAGGGCAACTGACCTTTGACAATTCAAAGGCCGATAAGATATTTGATATTCTGCTAACTGATGGTCAGATCCGAATTCCAAAGGGGCAGAGGTTGGCTACTAAGGAAGAAATCAAATGGAGGCCGTACTGTAAGTGACATAACTCCTTCACACATAATACAAGTCAATGCACTCATTTTCGAAATGAGATCCAAAAGGCTATTAAGGCAGGTCGGCTTAAGTATATTATTTTGGGAGTGGAGCAACAACCATTTCAAAAAGTAACCACAGCAATGGTTAATATACAAGCAACTTCCAGAAAAGAAAAAAGGAATTCATCAAACAGTGGCCGACTAGAGGAGAAACTCAAGGTTTGTGAAAAAACAGTGGCTGAAAAATAGGACAACCAAGATGGTTATTTTAACGTGGAATTAAAGCAGCAAGCCTTGGTTCGGGACCACCCGACCAGGAGGACGGGTGCGGTCGGAAGCAAATGGACTCGAAATAAGAAACCTTTACCAATTGATGTGGATCCTCGCTTCCTAGGCATGAATCGTACTCAGATTCGGAATGCCAAGCGCAGGTACGCTGCGAGATACAGAGACAAGGTTGTTTCATCGAGGCAACCAAGTATGCAAGGCACTTACAATTCTTCGGAAGGAGGTCGGTACATACGGGGCGCCTCAGCAAAGCAACCGAACGACAGCCAAGGCGCTGCTAAGTATACTGAAAGAGGTCGGTCCATCAGGATCGTTTCGTTTGAGCAGCTGAATGAGGCAGAAGAAGGTTGGCCCATTGAGTTCGCCTCGTCAAAGCTGCCGACCAGCATACGAGACACTGCTAATTACAATGAGGGAGGTCGGTCCATGCGAAGAAAGGGTAAAGGCTTGACTGATGAAAGAGTTGAGGGTTTCAGATGTCAGTATTGTGAGAACATTAACATTAACCAATCTTTGGAGGAATTTTGTTTGGAATCTCTGACTGTTTAACCCGAAATTGAAGTCGGAGACGAAATTCCAGAGAAGGATTCAAGGTCTGTCAAATCTCGACTAGGGCCATGTATCCCCTGCCGAATGACAGAAATTAATTCGGTTGAGGAAGAGTCTTTGTGGGCAAGTCTGGTGGATGAGTCTATAGAAGAGCCAGAATGAGCAAAAATTGCGGATCCTGACTTTCAATCAGAGGTCCCTCCAATAATCTTCCTTCTCATTCCAGAAGGCATAGCGTCTCATTTGAAGCCTCTGTACGTTAATGCTCATATTTGTGGGAAACCAATCACAAAGGTTTTCATAGATAATGGGGCCGTCTTCAATGTAATGCCATTAAAGACTCTCAAGAAGTTAGGAAAGGGAATTCATAATCTATCTCA